CTTTGTAGCCCAGGCTGGTCTCGAACTCACAGCGATCCTCCTGCCTCAGCTTCCCGAGTACTGGGATTCTAGGTGTGCGCCACCATGCCTGGCTCCCTTTCCTGACTTTTGAACTATGTAAATGAATTACAAATTGAACTAAAATGCATTCAACTTGTAAAAAATGGGACTGATGTCACGGTCATTTCAAAACACACAGGAGCAAAGCCCAGGGGCGCCACTATAGACATTGCCGCCATCACTTGGGCTTCCCTTTTACAGGCTTCCTGCCCCTCCTAAGGGACCCTGCTCCTGTGGGGAGCAGGCATGGGGGTCCAGGGGCCTCAGCACCACTGGTCCAGCTCGGGGCCCAGCGGGACATCCTGCTCTGGAGCAGCTTCCGGGAGTTTCCCGTGGGGACCGGGACTTGGAGTCAACCTTCTCCTCCAAGGCTTCTTTGCCCATGTGACTGCGGTGCCTGCTGCCTGGACTCCCCTCCTCAAGGGAATGGTGCCCGGACGCCACAGCCCAGCCCCAAAGGCTCCTCCTCCAAGAGGCCTCCCTCGACGACCCCCAGGAGAGTGGCAGGTGCTTTGTCACAGTGCCAGCCTGCACACCAGTGACATACCACCTGGCCACACCACGGCTGCTGGCATTGCAGGAAGCTGAGCACAGGTGTGGAGGCACACGAGACTCCAAACTGGATCTGAATGGCCACAGCCACCTCCTTTCTTTTCTTTTTTCTTTTTTGTCTTTTTGAGACAGGGTCTCGCTACACAGTTCAGGCTGGTCTTGAGCTCACTTTGTAGCCCAGGCTGGTATGGAACTCGCAACGATCCTCCTGCCTCAGCCTCCCAAGTGCTGTGATTACAGGTGTGGGCCACCACAGCTGGTGAAAGTTTAGTTTTTCAACTCATGAACTGACAGAGCCTCGGGACAGTGAGCGGGTTTCTGCAGGTGCCCCGCACCCCACAAGAGCAGCACAATTCCATGTCCTCGTGGGGCAGGCTCCAAGCCACCCAGGGGTCCCCAGGGTGGGCACAGGGACTGAGGCAGGGCTGAGGGTGTGCACGGTGCTTGCTGTGGCTAGGGAGGTGGAGGAGATCTGGAGGGGCAGGGCAGCCTCTGGTGCCCTCTTCCGCCTGGCTAGAGACACTGGTATTGCAGCTCAGCCTGGGGACCTGCCCTGGTGGCATCTCAGGGTTTCTGCCATCAGGAGACCCCAGGAGGCCGCCTGCTCAGGAAGGGCTGCCACCGTTCCCTCGGGGTGGGCCCTCCCTCTGCAGTCACTGGTGTATCCTGTGGGGCCCTCTGCATCTCTCCCCCAGCATATCTTTCTGCACTCCTCAGCTTGGGGCCCCAGTGCAGCATCTGTCTGCATTCTTCTCCCCTCGAAGTCCTGCGTGGGAGCTCCCCCGGCCAGGGACAGGCCCCAGTCCTCCCAGACACAGGTCCCCTCTGCGGCCCCGCCTCCTCCCCCGGCAGAAGCCCCTCACCTGGTTAGCCTTCTCCAGGTTCGTCATGATCAGGCCGACTTCATCTGCCCTGAGACACAGAGGTGAGGCCCTGAGGGGGGCTTCTGGCAGCCGCCAGGCCCGAGCGTGACGCCCAGCCTCTGGCTGAACCTGGGGCTCACAGTGGGGCTGCCATTCCCCCACACCTAAGCAGCCTGGCCTCCTACGGCCGCCAGGGGTCCGCTCAAGGGCACTACCCCAGGCCTGCCTGGACCTCCACCCCCAGGCCTCCCCCCAGGGTCCTTCTCTTAGAGAGCGGCCCAGCTCCTCTCTGGCCGCCCCAGGGCCACATACACTGCGTGCAGGCTGGGGGCCACCTGCCCCGGGAGCCCGCCCTGCATCAGGGCCCTGTCCTCACCACCCCCAGTGTGGCCCTGTGCTTCCCTATGTGGTGTCTGCTGTGTGCTGAGACCAGCGGGGAGCATACAGCAGGTGCTCACTCAGGTCCAAGAATGGACGCGCTCCTCCCTGTCCGTTACTGCAGTCCCTGCTCTGCCTGGGGACACCGCCCCGTGCTAGTGTTTCTCCCAGGGGCCCAGCGCAGCACTGGGTACACAGTGGGTGCTCAATAAATGCTTATGGCAAGAGCGATGTCCTACAGCCTGAAGAAACACAGCCCAGGGTAATTTGTGTGACATTACTCGGCCGCCGGGGGCAGGGGAGGGGGACCCAGGTTGTTTTTCTGGCTTGTGGTGTGGGGGGGTGAGACGGACAGCAGGGTGGGACAGCTGTGTACCTGTGGCGGAGGGCAGCAGAGCAGCTTAGTGGAATGGGGGCCTCAGGCAGAGATTCATGGGAGGAGGGGGCAGTGGAGGGTCAGGGAGGAGGCGCCCCGGGCAGGACGCGCACTTACTTGGCCGCGGCCTCCTCATCGTACTTCCTCCGCAGCTCTATCAGCTCGGTCTGTGTGGCTTTTAACGCTGGAAGTAAGACGCCAGATGAGGCCCCACCCTGGGGGGGGGGGCGCCTCCCTGGAGGGGATTCGGGTGACAGGCTGTGGGAGTCCTGCCCTGGGGGTGCTGCAAAGGGCAGGGACTGGGGTGCCTCCTGGGCAGGGCCGGTGCGCCTCTGAGTGTAAGAAGCTCAGGACTGGGCTGGGCGGGAGTGGGGCTGGGGCTGCGGGCTGCCGCCTGGCCTGGGCATCGGCCCCCCGCCGAGGCTGACCTGGGAGGCAAGGCGGCAGGTGGGGTGACAGGCCCCAAAGGCTCCCAGTGTCCTGTGAGTGGGCAACCTGCACAGTCCCAGCTCTCTGAGTGCTCCAGGGAAATCGGAGCACGGCCACACGGGCCACACAGAGCCACGCGGATCCACGCGGCGGCGCCTGCGGGATGCCCCACCTCGCCCTCCCCACCGCCGCCCCTGGCCTGGCCGCCCCGCCGGCACCTGACTGCCCCTGTTTAGCCCCAGCGACATGGGCTCTAGAGGTGGAGGGAGGCTGGGGGTCTCCTGGGCAAGCGCTTCCCCCTCCCTTCCGTCGCCCCTTTTCACCCTGCTGGTTCTAGAACCCCTGAACTCGGCAACCCCTGTGTTCACAGACGAACCCACCCCCACCCGTGGGCCGCACACGTACCTGAATGCAACACCTTGATTTTCTCCTCTGCCTCCCCCAGTCTGGCTGCCAGGGTGATTTGTACTTCTTGGAGGCCCCTGTGGAGAGATGGGGTGGACGCTGCCTGGGCCCTGGTTCGGGCCTCACCTGCCCCGTGACTGCACCTGTCTTTAGGGAGCCCTGGCCGTCCTGCTGTCTGGCCGGCTGTGCGGCCCCACTGTGGCTGGCCCTGGTAAGTTTCTGTCAGGACCTGTGGAACCAAAAACTTACAGCTCGAAGTGGCTTAGCCTCTCTGGGCCTCAGTTTCCTTGCCTGTGAAATGGGGTTTCTGGCAGGCTCCGTCCCAGAGCGTGTCATGAAATGTGGGGTGCTCTTTCTTCCACGTCACTGGTTAACGTTCCTGTCCCGTCTCAGTTCCAAATGAATGGAATTGAGGGCCCGGAAATAAACCCACACAGATCCGACAACTGGTTTTCAACAAGGGTGCACCCTCTCCAGTCTGTGGCAGGAATGTGGACACTCAGCCGGCTCAGCGTGGCCCAAGCCTCTCAGCAGATGAAGAGGATGCCAGGAGGAAGGAAGGGGCACCTGGCACTGTCCGGCTCAGTCACGATGAGGAAAGTGCCTTTCCTCCTGGCTTCCACATCTTCCCCTCCCCTCCACGCTCACTCGTGTCCGTGCCGCTCACACCGGGCGTGTTCCTGCCTCACAGCCTCTGCTGTGGCTGCGCCCTCTGCCTGTGCTGCCCTCTCCCTGCCCCTCCTCACCTGCGGCCGCCCTCACCTCCTGGTACCTCCGGACAGTCTGTGTGCAGCTGGCACCCGAATCTCCCTCCCGCTTTATGTTTCTTCACAGCGCCAATAACCGCTGAGCACACTATCTTCTTTATTCCTGTCTGCGTCACTAAGAAAAAGTGCTGTCTATTCTGTCACTGTTATGTCCCCGGCGCATTGAACAGCCCTGGCGCACAGCAGGCGGCTCCAGGGAGGTGCAGGGTGGTGAATGAGTGGCTGCAAAGCTAAATGCAACGACCACCATGCAACACCCGAGCCCCCAGAGGTGACTCCTGCTGCACCATCAGGTGCCGTCCACACCCGCGCTCCGTAGGCCTGTCTCACTTCATTGTTCTGTTTGCTTTTTGAGACAGGATCTCGCTATGCAGTTCAGGCTGGCCTTGAGCTCACTTTGTAGCCCAGGTTGGCCTGGAACTCCTAGTGATCCTCCTGCCTCAGCCTCCCCAAGTGCCGGGATTACAGACCTGCGCCGTCATGCCTAGCTCCCTTGGTTTCTGCAGCAGACTGAGCACGAAGGCCACGGGGATGGTCAGTGTTGTGTCTACGCAGCTTGGGCAGCGTCACCAGTTCCTCTGCCACACGCTCAGGTGTCTTTGTGCAGACACCCCGCAGATGCAACTACTGTCTACACTCAGCTGACTACGTAAAGATCTCATAGTGTGAGGGAACCTCAGCCAATCAGTTGACGGTCCTAGGGGCCAACTGGGGGAAAACCAATCTGGCCTTAAGGGTGCAGCATCTGTGCTTCCTGGCAGTGCCCGTCTGACTCACCCTTTCAGATTTGCCAATCCCAATCCTATGACTGCGTTACTGAAGTTCCCCAAATACTTCATTAAAAAGTTTTTAAAAATTCTACTGGTTCTGCTTCTCTGGAGATGCCAGCATAACGCTATTAGCACTAGCTATATTTTCCAGATGGGGAAACTGAGGCTCAGGAGAATGACGTGAGTTCCTCAGGGCCAGCCACCAAGCCCCTGTAGGAGGCTCAACTCTGGGCCTGCTGGACTGCAAAGGCCCTCACCGTGCCCACTCACTGCAGCTTCAGGGGACCCACCCACTCCGCCGCCCAGCCCTCCCTCCCTCCTTTCCTCCCTCCTCACTTTTGTTCCTCAGCCTCATTTCTCTGCAGCAAGGTTTCGGTCAGGAGGGTTTTCCCGGCACCGCCCGGGAGGCGGGTCCCCTCGGTCAGCGTGGGCCCGGCGGGGGACAGTCCTTCTTTCTGCTCTGTAGGGAGAGAAAGAAATATCCATCGCCAAGAGCAACGTGACAGGCAGAGAAGTCTCTACAAACTGGAGCGGTCGATGGATTAATACCCATTTCCCAAACTCGGCACTGGAGTGAAGCACGTGTTGGTGCCCGCTAGCCGGGGGCCGACACGCACAGGTTCAGTTCTCACCATGCCACCTTGGACAGCACCCCTGGGAACTTCCTTGGCCCACTTGAGTTTCCTTGGCTTTCTTATTTGTTTAAAAATTGTGATAAAATATACATAAACTCCACCCTTTAAAAGTGACATTCAGTATATTCATGATATTGGGTAAGCATCACTGCTAAATCTAGACTATTGTCACTGTTTTATATCTGTTTTTTTTTCTGTCCCCGCCCCCCCTTCTCCGGTTTTATTTCTTTGAGACAGGGACTCACAATGTAGTTCAGCCCGTCCTCACTATGTACCCCAGGCTGGCCTTGAACTCACAGCGGTCCTCCTGCCTCAGCTTCCCAAATGCTGGGATTATAGGTGTGCGCCACCACGCCCAGCTTTTCTGTTCTGTTTTGTGGTACTGGAGATAGAACCCAGAGCCCTGCATATTCTAGGCAAGCGCCCTACCATTAAGCTATATCCCCAGGCCTTTAAGAATTTTGAGGCAAGGTCTTGCCAAGTTGTCCAGGCTGGCTTTGAACTTAGGATCTTCCTTCCTCGGTTTCCTGAGTAGCTGGAATTACAAGTGAGCGCCACTGTCCTTGGCTTACACAACTGTACATTTTCCCCTCTCCAGACGCTGGTGACCACTAACCTGCTTTCTGTCTGTGGATTTGCCTGTTCTGGACAGGGTCCTGTTGGATGACCTTACAAGGTATGGCACTCTGGAGGGCCAGAACAGTGCCTGGTACACAGCCAGCAGTGAACCGGTGGTCACAAGGGCCTTCCCCGCACTGCTCCCCCGCAGCCCCCTCTGCCTCACTGCCCGAAGTGAGACCAGGGTGGATTTGTTCATCTTTCCCTTGCTTTCAAAAATATTTATCATTATGTTGGGCACAGGGGCACACACCTGTTATCCCAGTTACTTGTGAGGCTGAGGCAGGCGGATCACAAATTCAAAGCCAGCTTGGGTAACTGAGCAAGGTCCTGCTCACAATAAAACACAAAAAGGGCTGGGGATATGGCTCAGTGGTGGAGTGCTTGCCTAGCACGTGTAAGGTCTCAGGTCCCTAGTAGCACCACCACCAAAACACCAAAAAACAACAATCCTACATCTGAATGCTAGTTTTTGCTTTGCTGCAGTTGCCTGGCTGTTACAGCAGAGCACTGTGATCCACGCGGTCCCGTCCGGCAGGCCCGTCTGCGACATGCAGCGTGCTGTCATATCATTCTCGCACTCTGATGGTGGCCTGGGGTGCAGCCGAGCGAGCCGGCCTCTGCCCACTGGACATCTGGCTGCTCCAGCCTGCGCTACGGCGAAGCCTGCGGCCAGCGCCCCTCTCGCCCCGTCCTCTGGGCGTAGCGCGTCTCCTGGACACAAACCAAGGAGTAAATGCGCTAGATCCTAGGCGGGCCCACCTGCAGCCTCACTGGAGAGGATTTCCAGAGTAGAAACGGGTGGCAGCTGCCTAGAGTCCTGTCACCTTGTAGGAGGAATGTCTGTGTGTGCCTTCTAGTCACTTCCTGTTGGTGGGACCAGGGACTCCCCTAATGGGCGGGGGAGGGGAGAGCCGGGCATGCCTGGCTCGGCCCTGGGGGTCTGTCTCCTGGGCAGCATCGCCCAGCCAGGCCCGCCCTTCCTGTGTGTTTTAACAGCCGTGGGTGGGATCCAGGCCTGCCTGTCTGAGGGAGCCCCGCGATCCCACTCCCACCCCGCCTGCCTTCGTGGCTGGCCATCGTGAGAGCCTCACACAGTCCCCTGTCCAGTCCCGTTCTGTGAGGATTAAGCTCTGGCCTCCACCACTAGCCACCTCTTAATGAGCCCTGAGCTCCAAGGCTCAAAAGCACCATCTCACATTCCCACTTCGAACCAAACTAGGACTCCAGGCTTCTCCGTGCCCACAACCGTAGGCTCTGGGTCCCGATCCTTAGAGGCAGAAAGGCAAGCGGGATATTGCCTAGAGACTGTCATCGGCTGGGAAAGTCTTAAGGCTCGGACTCATCCCCCCTCGCCTCTCGTCCCCTCCATGCTGCCCCTTCCTCCTGAACACAGAGCTGAACTACACTTCCCAGCCTCCTTTGCAGCTGGGCGTGGCCACAGGTTTGTTTTTGGCTGGTAGGGTGGTGGTGGAAGGGATGCCTTAGTGTCCAGGCTCGAGGCCCACACGTGGCAGCGACCTCCACTGTCTTCCTCTGCCTGTTGACAGGTTGTCAGTGTTCACGGTGACTACACGTTACAGGTGCAAGACACAGGACCTCCTCAGCCTGGGCCCCTGAGCGACAGCGCAGGGCATTTTCTGCAGCCTTCAGTAGCCCGGGCAGTAGTGGTGCCTCAACCTGTCCGTCAGCTGAAATAATGAAGCCTAGCTGCCTGCCCCCCTCTGCTGCTGCCCCAAGGGTGGCCCAGCTTGAAGCTCCGCAGCCCTGGGCTTTGTTAAAGCACCCCACAAACATCTGGGCGCCCTGCAAGGGTCTCATCTGTACCTTTGGGGCCGAGGAGCTCGGGGTGTCTCTTCCACGAGGTGTGGCTATCTCGCCGGGGCTGTGCGCCGGAGTCGAAGCTGGGGTGCTGCAGTCTGTCGTCTGGGCCGCGCGCCACCTCACACGCAGGCACAGGGTCTGCAGAGAAGGAGAGGGCTGCGAGGATGGGGTCAGGCCTGAGGGCTCAGGCTGTGGCTCCTGGGACCATCCCCACGGGCCACCTGCAGTCATTGATGGCTCAGGGAGAGCACGGGCTTCCTGCTGCACAAGGGTAGCCGTCAGGCCCTGTGTCCTCGCCCCCTGGGGATAACGGCAGTAACCGTCGTCATCATAACCGCATGTTCTTGACCTGGCAGTGCCATCTGTGGTGCCTGTGGGACAGTGCCCGCAGACCTCCAGCCATTCTGAGCTGCTGCGCTCTGAAACCATCTCTGAGGTTATGCCTCCCTCAGGTCCCCCAGACAATGCCCCACTGTCGCAGGGAAACCGAGGCAGGACTGCTGCGCACGCCATCCGGGTCAAGGCCTCCCCGGCAGCTGGTGTGCGCCGGCCCCTGCCTCTGTCCCCAGGAGTGAAGCCTGCCCTGTGGTCTGGGGCTCTTCCCACTTCCCCTGCTTCCTCCCTCCCTCCTGGGGGACTGGGAGGACACAGTTCTTCGTGATGCGCGCCGTCGCTGTTTCAGTGGCAGCTTTCCTGGAAGCAAAATCTTCACCTCCATGTGGAATGGTAAGAAGCCCCCTCAGTAACAGTTAAGAACCCACGACTCATTCTGTAGCATTTCTTCTTTTTTCCACTTTGAGCCCAGCCCCAGGGTGTCCCACGTCACCCCCGACTTCCCACCCAGGGCGGGTACCGGAGTCCCCTGGATGGTTCCTGAGCTCAGATCGCAGAGGCACTTGCAGGAGTAGTTCCACTGTCCTCACAGCGTCCCCGGGGAGCTGGCCTGCACCCAACCTGTTCCCACAATGAGGAAACTGAGGTTCGCAGAGGACAGGTGCTGCGGGCGTGACGGGCACCTGGCTCTCCTGCTGTGATGGCTCGAGGGCTTCCTGTCCTGGTTGTGCCCATTGCGGCCCTGGCAGCGGCAGGCAGTACTCCTGCGGCCCCGGGAACGCCAGGGCCTCCCCGTCCCCGACTCCGGGGCCTGAGGTCTGCTCCGCTCCTTTCTAATTCTCTGGATCCCAGCATCTCCGGCCACTGTGCATTTGCCGGCCACTGCTCTCTGCTGAGGAGCAGAGGGATTGAGGGGGGACTTTGGAGTCAGGCTTGTCTGGACCCTGGTCTAATCCATGCTTGCTTCTCGGCGTTGCTGTGTGACCTTGGCGAGTGACTCTCTCTCTCTGTGCTTTACCACAAAAGTGGCTATCCCCCAGGACTGTGATGAGGATCCAGGTAAAGTGTTCAACACGGCACCCAAACCTTGTCAGCCCAACACAAATGGAAGCTCTCACCGCCTCTGCCTTGGCCAGGAACACACCTCCTCCCCTGCTGCTTTCAGCCGGTTAACGCTTGCCTTCCATTTCGCACCTCAGAAGCCACCTCCTCTAGGAGGCCCTCCGTGATGAGGCCAGGATGAGCACCCCCAGCTCCCCACACCCTTCTGCAGTCAGTCTCTCTGCAAGGCCACCAACTCCACAGCAAGGGAGGGCCGGGGCTGCCTCTGGCTTCGCTCCCCCTACTGGACTCCTTGCAGCCAACGTGAAGCGTGACACAGTCCGCCCCAGGGCATTTTGGTTGGCAGAAGACGGGGTAGCGCCTGGATGGGGGCTTCAGGTCCAGCTGGAACAAGGTGGTCTTCCATTTCACTCTTCTGCCCCCGCTCACTGAGGTGGCAGGAGGCTGGACAACGTGCTCGTGGCGAAGTGAGCAGGTGCGGCGGAGCGCGGCCGCTTCTCCTCCGTCAGCAGCCCCCACGCCCCGTCATTAGGCAGGGCCTGCTCATCAGGGTGCGCCATTATGTCTCCCCGGGCTGATGTAATTATACATTGACATAATTAACCCAGCGAGCGCATTAGGCAGGCCAGCTAAAAATCCATCTATAATTATTTGTTGTGTGCATGCTAATGAGTCCATCTGCACTGCCTTTGTACAACACGAACAAATTAATTTACAAGTCTGGATTTTTTAATAAGTTCAAGGAATCGCTTCCTATAGTGTCTTGTTTTTTTTGAGAAAGGAAGAAAAAGGCAGCCGCGCTCGCTGGGGTCAGGGAAGTTAGGTAAACAGGGGAGGCTGTGGGTCGGGGTGGCTGTGGCCAGCCTGCCCTGGGTCGGGAGGTAGGGGAAGTTCTAGCTGAGACCAGGGGCCCAGCTGGCCACGGTGAACGATTACCTTGGGACAGGACAGGGTCCGTGTCACCTGCCTCTTTCACAGGGATGAGGTTCCCTACTGACCTCCACTCCGCTCTGAGGCCCTCAGGTCGTTTGTGGCTGGCTTGTGTGCCTGTCCTGGGAAGCTGCCTCCGTGGTCCTCCGGAAGGTCTGCTGGACGGGGTGGGGTTAGATTTCAAGGCCCCACTTTTTGCCTCGTCGTTGGTATAGAAGATGGTTGTTAAGCTCACAGAATCTGAAATTCAGCTTTGGGCCCAAGTCCCACGGGGCCGCAAGCCTAGGCTTCTCTGCCTGTAGGATGGGAACAATGTAACGCTTCCTACTCCCTAGGAGTGAGTACGGGGAGGGCCAAACAGTCACTGAGAGAGAGGGCGCTAAGTAGGGCTAAGCACAGGCATGGCTTGCTACCCTTAGAGAAGGTGGTACGCCAGAGCTCACGCTGCTGGGAGCTGGCTGTCCCCAAAGCGACACTCTGCATAGAGCTCAGGGATGGCGTGTGGCTTCATGTCGGCAACAGGCCCATAATGTTGTCTCAGACTAACACCGCTCTGGGACCTGAGGGCTCCAGCTCAGAAAGTCCCAGCGGGGAGGGAGCTGTCTGCTGAATCTGCCCCACACTCCCACATCCAGTAGATGTACGGGACGGGCAGGGTCTGGTGATGTCCACTACAGTTGGTGGCAGGATGGAAATAGGCCACAGGCCACTTTCTCCCACACTTGCCTGCCCCTCAGGTCCTGAATCTGAGGGAGGAAGGGTGTGTGTGGTGGGCTGTGGCTGACTCTTGATAGCCAAGCTCTTTACACAGATTTTTATCACCATCACTTGATGAGGTAGGCATTGGTGTAGCCCCATTTTGCAGGTATGAAAACTGAGGTACAGGGCGAAGGGTGAGGTACCTACAAGGTGAGGCAGTGAGGGCTGGGCTGGATCCAGGCAGGCGGGCCTGGCAGAGTAACTGGGGGTCCTTGAGTATCTCTGCTGGCTCCTATGGAACGGCACACCTGTCCCCCGGGGAATTCTTCTAGCATTTCTGTTGGGCCTCCATCCCGGAGATTCTCCTGCTGGTGGTCTGTGTGTCCCTCCTGGGCCTTTGGGGAAGCAGGTGGGACTTCCACGGCTGGCTGTTGGACCTTCCTGTGTCCCCCCAGTGGACCAGGGTGACGTGCAGTTTTGATTCCCTTTCAGCTTGCAATGGCGCTGTCAATCAACATGCTCCACCTTCCCTTGGTGAAGGTCACCTGACCTGGAAGGCCAAGCACACTGCTGCCTTGGGAATTTGACCCCTGTACCCACGTATGGGTGGCTCTGGCCCTGTCAGCCTGGTGGTCCCACCACTCTCCCCACCCCCAGCCCCCTACTAAATCCCTCTCTCCTTAAGAGCTTGGTCAGAGTCGGCTTCTGCTGCACACACTAGAGAACTCTGATCGATACACAGGACGAATGATTTTTGACAAAGGGAGATCTGAGAAATCACTGCTCCAACAGGTTCATTTCAAGCCTGAGTAAAGACTGGGGCAAAGAGTCATGGGCTTGAGGAGCGGGTGTTTGAAAGAATGTGGCCAGCACACATTCCAGAGCTTGCCCAGTCAGTGTCACAGATTTAGGGGACAAAAACCCCCGCCGGGCTGGCTGACTCCCAGGGCAGCCAGGAAGTCTGGACTCACAGCGAGCCTCAGGAAGGGAAAAGGGCGAAAGGGACCCCAGCGAGCCGGCGTGTTTGCTGGCACACAGTAGGTGCTTCATAATTCTGCTCAGTAAGTGGGGAACGGGAGGCAGGTGCCCAGGACCAGAGGCCCTTCTGGGTCGCAGAAGGGGAGCCTGACTTGGGCAGAAGATGGGTTAGAGCAGGCACGGGAAGAAGAGGTGTGCTTAGGCATCGGCTCTGAGGGCAGAGAGATCTGGGTTTCAACCCCTTCTCTACCACTGAATGTGGGGTCTCAGATAAACCATTTCGCCACTATAAGCCTCAGTCTTCCTGTCTGTAAAATGGATCTATCAAAGCCACTGTAAGGATCGGATGAGAGAAGCTCTGCAGAGCGATTAGCACTGCACTCAGTTCATGGAAGGCTTCCGGGTGGCAGGAACCCGTCTCACAGCCCAGCCCCACCGTGGCACTGCCCGGCTTTGTCTTGGGTTTTGCCACCAACACGACTACAGGCCTAGAATCAGAAGCCCCAGATGTCTGGATGGGGCAGAGCACAGGGCAGCGGCCTCTCAGGGGGCTGACACAGACCCTCACAGGAGGGTCGCCCACCAGACCCTTGGGAGCGGCCGCAGGGTCCTCAGGGGGCCAGAACGTAAGGCAAAGACGCCAGGCCCTGGGTTTTGCGCCTGCGCCAGTCTGAGCAACATATGGAAGGAATGGAATCAGGGAAGGATTTTACTGCGGGACTCTGGGGGCTAAAATGCCGGCAAGAAAGAAACAGAAGGGTGTGCTGGGCGTGGACACAGCCTAAGTAAGGGAAGACAGACATGCACGTAAGACTAGGGTCAACAGCAGTGTGACACTCAGGGCCTGCTGTGAGCAGTTGGGTCGACTGCGCACAGCACAGGGGTATTCACGGGAGTGACACTCACATTGTAGAGTTACCCAACTGGTACCAAGTCTTTGGGTAGATGCCAGTGATCTGGTTAAGGATGGGGTACCTCGCTCTGACTGGCTCCAGGCAACTTGGGGTCTTACGGCTTGGGGCAGCCCCTCTGATGCTGTAAGCACAGCTGCTCCAGGCCGTCTTCATCCTCATAACGGCAGTCCCGGAGACACTGCTACGGTCCCCATCTTCCTGAAGGCCCAGAGAGGAGGCAGC